CAACATTGCAGGGCTGGTACTGATAACGAAAAATCCCTAATTTTTGGCGTCACCAATATTAATGATTCGTTTACAACGATGACAAACCGTTACGTCTACGCTCGAGATAATGCTATAGCTGATTGGTTGAATAGAATCCCTAAAAAAATTACACTAATCATGCCCAGTGAAATAGAGAGTCGTGTGTTATAATGTAATCCTGATCTTATTGTTTTAATAATTTTTAGTTTTACCGAAATTTAATTGCCAACATGAACGAAATACAATTACTGTTCCAAACAAAATTACTGATCACGTGGCTTGCTATCATTTATGAAGGCTCTGTATCTATTTATTAAAGGAATTATTATTCAAAATTGTTAATGAACTTACTCTGCTCTTTTCTTTTCAGTCTGACAATATTCTAAATAAAATAAAATAAAATAATGTTTCCCATTGTTACTTTAACCATTCCGTTTTCGTAAATATTGTCTCAAAACATATTTATTTCTGATGAAGACTTTCAAATGTTCAGTGTTCAGTGTCAATGTTCAATGTTCAATGTTCAATGTCAATGTTCAATGTTCAATGTTCAATGTCAATGTTCAATGGTCAAAAGTGTAGGTACCTTATTTTTGTAACCAATGCACACGTTGTTTATAATGTGAATTTGATCATTTTTGCAATGACCATCGTCACATCTAGAAGAACTATCGAAGAAAACTCTAGTTTTCTTCCTTTCCACTGTAAACATGTTTTTAATGTTCCCAAGGTATACTGGATTTTTATGGAAAAGAAATCAAAGTGAATTAAATAAATCTGCTAAAATGTACCGCTTTTTTTAAAGAAACCATCCAATTAATTATATCTCAGGCAAATTCTTTAAAATGGAAAAATTATTCTACAAATACTAGGTTACTAGTAAAATTTGACTACCAGAAATCACGTACTTTCATTCATAATATTCTACCTCCTTAAAGTGAACTGAACACCACTGTTTTAGTTGCAAATAGAACATCCTTCAATATTTTTCACACTGTGTCAAAAAATAGCTTAATATGATTTTCAAATAAACTGTTGAAAATGCATTATACTTTTTCTTAAAATATGCATTTATATCAATATTTAAATACAAAAACTCATTTAGGCAACGACAATAGTAAAAATAAATAAATTTTATGCTTATATTTAGTTAATTTAAAAATATAGTTTTAAAAAATGAAAGAAAAAAATTTTGCTGGAGTACTGAAAAATGATATGAAAATAAATTCGATACAAATAATAATAAATACAATGTTAAGAAATTTTCTCGATATTTTTTAATAAAAATGTCAAAATTTGCAAATAGAATAATTACTTTATATTATATAACGAGCGTTCAAATAAAAACATGGTCAAGTTGGTTCTGAAAATTTGGACGTAGGGCGTAGCGTATAGCAAATGAACTTAAACGTCATCTGTCAAAGTGCTGTATCGCCGCTTTGTTATTGAAACTGACAGCTGCTATACAGCTCGTTAAGAAATGAGGTTGAGTTGATCGCTATAAGCTACGCCCTACGTCCAATGTGTCAGAGCCAACTTCGACCACGTTTTTATTTGAACGCTCGTTATATTATATTTTATAGAAAAAAAATTTTCTGTCACAACACACACACACACAATAATAATTAATTAGTTTTTTTGCTATATTAGCGTACTATTCACTTATTCGTACCTGTCTGAGTGAATTTTCAGGATACGTAAGTAATAAATATTCTAAAATATCTTCTATTATTTCTATTAGTTATCTCTGTTAGTTATTAGTTAGTTGATATACAGGGTGATTCACTATATTTTGACCCCCTTTAACTTTTTTTATTTAAGAGTTATAAAAATATGTGAAATACAAAAGTTTTATGAAGTTTTCGAAAATGATAGTAGAAAAACAAATTAAGTTCAAATAAAATGGCCGTGGTTGTTAACTTTGTTAATTTAAATGGAACACCCTGTATACATTTTTGCCCTGCCGAGCATAGTCATATAAGGTTTGGTGAGTCCATCTCTAACACTAAGCTAGATACTATTAGAAAACCAAAAGAAGGTTTTTTGTTAAGAAAATAAGACATCATGTAATTATTAGATCTCTTTCAGGCGTTTCTGCTTTTTTTCCAATTATGTAAGGATTTACAGATTTAATTATAATATATTTTAACATATTGGATATTGATACGATTCAAAATGTGAATAGATATTTTAACTATTCTCACTAATTATGCCATGAGAGGCTTAATTACTCATGGACAGTGTTATATTGTAGGTGGTGACAGTGACAGGTAGTAAATGTCATTATAAAACATTGTTATTGATATGATTGACAGTTTGTATTATTATTTAATTAAAATAGGTGTTACACAATAGTAGAAAATTGAAATATTATTAGGAATTAAAATAGAGTATGTAGAAGAACTTTACTCTATTTTAATTCCTATAATATTTCTACCTCTGTATATCTCATTTTAATTAGAAAACAATACAAACTGTCAAACAATAACTAATGTTGTCATGACATTACCTGTCACTGTCACGGTCTACCATATAACATTGTCCATAAGTAATTAGGCCTCTCACGGCCTAATTAATGAGATTTACTTAAAATACCTATACGCAATTTGCACCATATCAATGTCCTATATGTCAAAATATATTACAACTAAATCTGTAAATATTTGCGTAATTGGAAAAAAGACAAAATTGCCTGAAAGATATTTTATTTTCTTAATAAAGAAAATTTTCTTTTTTTAATAGTATCTTGCTTATTGTTAGAGATGGACCCAATAAACCCTATGCTCTACAGGGAACGTTCTATCCAAATATGTAAAAATATACATGCCTGAAAGAGGTCTAACAATTGCAATATGTCTTATTTTCTTAATAAAAAACCTTCTTTTAGTTTTTTAACAGTATCTCGCTTATTGTTAGAGATGGACCCAACAAACCCTATATGACTATGCTCGACAGGGAACGTTTTATCCAAATATGTAAAAATATACAGACTGTTCTATTTAAATTAACAAAGTTAACATCTGTGGCCGTTTTGTTTGGACTTCATTTGTTTTTCTACTATCATTTTCGAAAAATCGTGCAACTTTTGTATTTCAAATTTTTTTATAACTAAAAACAAAAAAGTTAATGTGGGGGTCAAAATATACTGTATCACCCTGTACATACATGAGAAAATCAGTTTTAAAAATATAAACTTTTGTTGGATTTTTCGTAACTGTGCTTTACAATAAAAAGGTATACCTTTTTATATTAACTTTTTCCTGAAAATAGATAATCATGGAGAAATACTTCTTTAAAGGAGGATAATAGATATCGCTTCTTGAAATATCTTAAACGTCTTTCGATTTATTTTATTCATATTTTAAATATAGACTAGATCTGGACAGTAATTTACGAAGTGTTATTATAATTCCATGTATAATAAAAATTGTTATTGTAAAAAAAGTTTTAATCGATAATAAAACTATCTTGTTTTAGAGAAATTGTTCGGAATATCTGACATTTTAATGCATATATGAACGTAAATTTCTACAAAACGATTCAATTTATCAAAATTTATCAAAATTAAAGAAGATAAACTTCTTTCTTTTAAATAGTCTAGACGTCAGTGCTTTCGACATACTTAAAAAATAAGACAAACAAAAAAAATTGATAATGAAATTGTGACAACCACCGTACAACCATCCTAAATAAGGTAAGGTCTAAATAAATGACTACAAGCCACGTGACCAGTAATTTTGTTTGGAAACTTTATTTCCTTCATGTTGACAATTTAAATTTCGGTAAAATTAGAAATTATTAAAACAATAAGATCAAAATTATATTAAACCACAACATTCCATTTCACCGACTGTGATTAGTATAATTTTTAATGAGATTCTATTCAACCAATCAGCGATCGCATAATTTCAAGCGCAGACGTAACTGTTTTTCATTGTTTGTTGTAAATGAATCACTAATATTGGTAACGCCAGGATTTAGAGATTTTTCGTTACCAATACCAGCCCTGCAATGTTGGTTGCTTAAGTTCGGTGATCACCTGACTTGTAAACATTTATGAACTCTGTAATCTAGTGCCCTGACGAGTCTAGGTCTAAAACATGAATGAACGATTATTAAGATACTTATAGCAAAAAATATTATAACTGTTCTTATTTTGTTATCTAAAAATATTTATAATTTTTAAGATGATTTAAGAGCGACCTATAAAATTTATAATTACAATTTAAATATAAATAAAATGTAATATACTGGTATCTTACAGTTCTGTTCACTCGTAATTTACCAATCAACGGCATAGGCGTCACGTTTGACTTTAACATATTTATGAGAACTGATGAAATTACTTCTGACTGACTGGTTTCATAAATAATTTATTATTGAATGTATGTATACTCTTTCTACCTTTATGACAACGTTAGGGCGTCTTTTGATTTCTGTTTGATTTTATTTCGCTCCAAGTATTACGAAATGTATGGATGTTTGATATAAAACCGAGTTAAGTTAGTTAATTCGCTTGGATTTTGAACTCAAAGCGGCCGTCTTGGCTTTTACAAGTTAAACCACGATAAGACTTGCTGGCGTCTGTTACAGAAATCGGGGCTTAAGCTGAATTTGACTTTGAGACTAAGCTAAATTGGTCAAAAGCAACTGCATACAGTCTTTTCAATTGCAAGTTGAAGTACGTCTGCCAGTCGGTCAACTTTACGTTCAACACAACAACAAAGTTTTTATAATCAGCGAACATAAGAAGTGTATCTAGAGAGCTGTTATCAGAGTTTATCGAAATCCGTAACGAAAATACACACCTTTGGCAAATTAAATCGAAAGATTATAACAATTGTCGTGGGTTTTGGTTGGTTAATTCGTTTGGTGGTGGATTTTGATTGGTCTAACTAGCTTGCAGTGGAGTTAATCTACCATAATTCTCTCATAACATTATGTAGACCAACCCTCATAATGGGATCGGATGGAACGTTTTATTCTGGTTCCATTTTCACCTGCGCCTGCGGTACTAGGAGGTTACTCTCCCGCTCGTCCATAAGGGGATCCACAAAGATCTCGTGCGGTTCCCGTTTAACGTTAACTATGAAAAGCGTTAGGAAAAGGCGCGGAGTGTTGATGACGAGATGTGGCTCTGTTTTGGGTTCACGATCCACAATCTAATTATTTGTTGGTGTGATCTAAGACGCACTATAGGCACTGCACTTTGTTTCAAAGTGAGTTTTTATGATTTAAACGGTTTGTGTATAATGGGTTTTCAACCGAACGCTGTGTACAGTGACACACTGTTTGTTTAGCACTGTCGAATCTGTTATCGTAGTGTCTCAATATCACTATTTGTTTGCACTGGCTAAAACACTTGAGTTCGATAGTGTACTGCCTCCTTAGAGCGCCGGTACGGTAAGCTTTAGGAGCTTTTTTGTGTGAATGGCAGCATAAGAGCTACATTTTATGAATATCAGTGTGAAAGCTGATTTTGTGAGCGTTATGCTAGCCTTGGTAATTTTTTGTAGTTTAAATTTTTAAATTTAAAGTTTTAGTTGTAATAACAATATGAAAGATATATAGGCTACTGATTATGCAAAATAAGAAAATTCAAGTCGAATGCACACTCTGGCCAGGTCACCGTACTTGGTTATAAAACTGCAGAAAACCAGAGTTGAAGTTCGATCACTGGTTGGGTGAAATCCACCTGATAGCCTGCTGCATGGCCCTGTTTAATTTCAAGAAACTCGATCCTCGAAAAAACTGCGTCTTTATGTAGTGGGCGTCTCTTAAGGGTTGAAGAACTGAAAATGATTTTATTATAGTACCGACCCGAAGGGATTATAGTACAGCCCCTAAGGATTCGAGTTTGAAAAGTTCTGCGATGCAATTTTTGCCATTTTTTTGGAAAGGTTGGTGAAAATGTTGGCGTTCCGTGCGCCTGTCAGAGCGGATATATCTACATGTGTTAGTTGTCGTCGTCGTTTGAGGGAACGAGGGATTTTTGACGTTAACCTTTTATACGAGTGACTTTGCGGCTAAATTTTGGAAAAATGCGTGACGTTCGTCTTTTCCCCGCACGATAGGAGGGGTACAGCGCTGTATCGCATACGTATCTGCATCGTCTAGAGCAGCGGTCGGCAACTGGCGGACGCGGAAGGTAAAATACTGGACCACCAAAAATTTTTTGAAAGTATAAATTACTCAAATAAATTATTTAAAAAATATTTTTTTACGTTTGAGTGCCACACTTATTTTTTCTAGTATTTTACAATTATGTGACTGATTTGAGTTCTTAGTGGTTAGTAAGCAGATTAAATTTGAGTGCAAATTAAAATAAAAAATTAGTAAGAAATATGATTTTCTTTTCTGGACCTAATATTACTTGCCGACCCCTGGTCTATCTACGCCGTTTTAACGGCAATCAGGACTTCTCCGTTGTTGTTGCGGGAGAATTTTCGAAAGGTAGGTTGAAACTCTGCGTGGTCGAAGTGTTGCAGAGCACGGTCGCATACATGGCAGTACGATTCTGGCGACAATCACAACGTTTGCGGAACTTGGCGGGAAATATTGGAAAGATCGGTGAAAATTGTAGCGGCGTAGTAAGTCCTCTGTTATAGTTTGTTTATGACTAGGTGCTATTTGGCGGGAGCTGTGTCTTACGTGATGCGTATTCAACGTATGAATGGGATCTTTAGAAACATCGGTGAAAACTTAAGTGAAGAAATGCACCTTGCGGGGTTGGATTCATATTATTCTGGCGGGAACTGCGCCTTGGAGGCTCCTCTTGAATGATTTTTATAGACATTTGAAACATGGGTATATTTTGGATCGCCCTGCGTACAACGACATAATAAACAGTTAGTTGCATATGAAAGTATATATGATTACTAAAACATGCGAATACGTTTACCATGACTGCATAAAAAATTTATTGAAATAAAATATAACACGAAGGCGGACTGTAATTTTTCATTATTTTATTTTTATATAGTAAATGATAGACAAAATTTCAACGTTTAGTTTTATTTTTAAGCGTGGGAAGCGCTCTAACGCATATAGTCTTTCCGAAGTCAGTTGAACATGTATAAAAACACCTAGCAATAAAATTTAATTAGTGCCATAGGCGTCCCTAAAAAAAGTTTTCTGCTAAAAGTAAAAAATAATAATAATTTTTTATATAAAGTGTAGAAAATTTCTATTATATGTTCATTTGACCAACAACATATTTTAATTATTTATGTCCTCAAACAATTTTATTATATTGATGGTAAATTTCGTTTTGTTCCATTTCAAAAGGTCTCCAAAATGCCATGTTGTAATAATATTAGCAAACCAAATATTCCTCTTAATTCTCCCTTTCGCAATGGGGTCATTACCTTATATTCCAAAAATTGAATTTGCTATTATTTTTCAGTAATAAAAGTTTATATATTTACTTTCATTAACNACTTTATTCGAGGAATACCCTTTTATAAACTGTACTTAGACCATAAAACTTAGAAATAGTTATTTATGAATTAAGCCGGCTATGTTATTCCCAAGTTTTATGATGGCAAGCTTGGGTTCGGGGAGACTTAAGGGTCACTCAACGTAGCCGCGGTCAGAAGATAGAAAGCATTTACCTTATAATTACTTTATAAGGGAATCCCTAGGAAATAACGAATTTGATTGGTTCATTTAAGAATAATTTTGACCTGACGATAAAAGAGAAGTACAGAGAGAGGTACGGAGGGGAGTTCTACTTGAGCATTGAAGACGTGAGTACATTGCTATTCTGTTGACCGTGGATTCGTTATCGAGCCTCTGGCTGTTGTCATGAAACACCTCGAGTACTTTATTTGTAATGTTGTATTTTATATCATTTCGTTTACGGTATTACTTATTATTTCGTGAAGATCCGACATCAGAAGTGGGATCTGGATCGTCTACGGGATTTTATCTGATCAATTCAGATTTTTTTGCTAGATACGCCAGTGAACGGCGAATAGATATTTGCACAGTGGCAGCTTCAACAGGATCATTGATCCACCGTGGTGAGTCGTTTTCATTTTGTTTTGATTTAGGTGCAAAATGCTCACTAATTAAAAGGAGCATTGCAGCTCGATTTGTGAGAAAAGAGAAAATAAATTAATAATTTTAAAAGGGCATTGTAAATGTTAACGTCAATTGTACTTTACAAATTTCGACAAGTGTAACGACATATGGTCATACATTGTTTTTTTGTTTGATTGATTGATTGTTTTTCATGTTATCTTAGACGAGTATTTAAGATGTCACATAATAATTGGTCGTGAAATTAGTTTTAAATAGCGTCAGATAATTTTAGCGTTTTAAAGAAATTAAGACGATAAATGCATGAAGTAAACTCGAAACTCATAGTAAAGTTTGATTTAAACAATGTCGATAGTAAGGAACGACTTATTTTTATTTTTAAAAAGAATTTACCGATTCATTTATTTAAAGGTTCCAAGTACAGAGGGCTTCCCGATACGATGCGATGCCGATATTTTTGTGAATTGTCCTGTCGATGTTGGTTTCAGTACGATGTCGATACGGTGTTCAATGTTTGTTGATGTAAAATGGTTGAAATTTGTTTTTTTTGCTAGAAAGGTTGCACTGAATTTGAATTTTTTACGTGAAAAATATTAAAGTACACGTGTTAATACTGAAAAGCTTGAAATCCGATTAATTGATCCTAACGTGATCGTACAAAGGACCGTACAGTTTAAGTACCAAAGAAAGACATGCAGTATTAGATAGAATTGACGAATTGTTAAACGCAAATGTTACATGTACTAGTTGTTCTCCTTTTGTAAGTCCTATCTTACCCGATAAGAAAGCAAAAAAAAGATTCTGATCGTTTGTGTGTCCATTTTCGTGGGTTAAACGATAATATTATTGATGATAAATTTCTGTTACCTTTGCCGACCAGATTGCGGGACTTAGTAACGCCAAATATTTTATGTGTTTGGATATGTTGAGCAGATTTCGCCAAATCTCAGTTCACAATGATATAAGGCAGTGTTTTTCAGTTTTTTTTCATGTATGGAAAAAAAATATTTCACGACCCACACATTGAAAAACACTGATATAACGAAAAAAAAAATGACTAAGGAGTATGTAATTAAGTGTTCTAATAGGTGCTTTCACTAAATATGTCCTACTATATCACATCCGTAAAATTAATTCAGTTAGTAGCATTAAGGCTCTAACATACGCTATATCTTTATTTGGTGCACCTGTTCGCATAATAGCGGATCAGAGTAGATGTTTTACGGGCAAATACTTTCAGGAGTATTGTGATTTTCAAAATTAAAAGTTATATTTGATCACTGCAGGATTCAGTAGGGCTAACGATTAAGTAAGAGTGATGAGCACTCTTAAAAATACGTTTACGGCTGTGTAGATGAACGAAATTTCGTGGCAAACAGCCATAGAGGAAATACAGCTCGTGATGAATTGCACTACCAATCGAGTCACCAAAGCTAGTCCTTTTATTAATAGGTAAAGTAGCCAGGCTTTTTGGTTTAATGGTAGATGATGATAACAAAGAAATCAATATCTTTGATGTACGGCAAAACGCGATTGATCATAATGAAAATATTGCTAAATACGATAAGTCTAGATGTGATTAGAACAAAGCGAAAGTTGTTAGATTTAAAGTAGATTTTGTTTTGATTAAAAATAAAGAAAGAAATCAAACAAAACTTGATCCAAAGTTCAGAGGTCCATTTATGGTGGCTGGAGTTCTCGACGGTGATAAATGTATTTTGAAATCAGTAATCGATCATATAAGTATAGTAGTGATAACTTAAGGATAATGCGTTAAAGTCATATTCCCAGAGAGTTAGATGTACCTGATGATTTAGATAATGTTGATATTAATGTTAATGAGACAGAGTATCTTAATGTGAACTCTGGGTTAAAGTTAGAAACCACCATGGGAGATACTCAGCACTAATGGTAGTTTGGAGGTCGCACCACTTGCATCAATCTGTAGTCGTAACTGCAAATCTGGAGTGATTTGCTCAGGGGGCGATGGGCAGCTGGTGAGGTGGCGGGGGCCTGAAGTAAGTCGCACTACATGTGTTATACTGTGGCAGTTGACAATGTGGCGAGGACTTTGTGTGGACGTGTACATAGTTGTGAGAACTATGGTGGTACACGGTTT